AAGAATTTAAATTTTTCATAAGACTGAAAACAAGAAATGCTATGCAAAATTACAGAAAAAAAAATAAATTATTCAATTTGTAATATTTTGATTTCTGTAAATAAAATATATTAAATATAATATTCTTTCATTGATATACATATATACAATTACATAAAATGTTTATAAATGCTAAATTCCTTTTACAAATAATTCCTATGAATCGTAGCAAAAAAAGGGAATTGTTTAATGGAAATTTAAATTTAGTTTTGTGTCAATATCATTATGATGTCTACATGTTTTTACAATATGTAAGAAGACAGTCTATTTTCACTTGTATACCAATAAGATATAGACAATTTTTTTTAATATTAACTGTAATAGCAATATCTTTTTATCTTCATATTTTTAGTTTTTTTAACCCATTCTAATACTTTGAATTATTTGGAATACAGCTGAAAATTAAAAAATTTTAATTTATATAGATATATAAATCTTTTCTATATATTTATTTAAAAAAATTATATTTAAATTACCATAAATATTAAAACTTACCAGAACCACATACAACAAAAAGAAAAAGTGCTAATAAACAAGGTCCAACAGGAGATCCTTCATCTTGTGGCTTCTAAAATATTATTAAATGTAATAATTTGATATAAAGATTAAAATAAATAAATTTATAATAAAAAAAATTTATATAATTTTATATAATTCATATTTTGATAAAAAAAAAAATTATTTAAATAATTGATTGTTATAAATTTAAATTGAATGTACATTCATATTACATATGGTAGATTTATTAATTTACTGGATTAATTATTTTTATTATTATTAAAAAATGAAAAATCATAAATATTAAGAAGATCTAACATTATTTGTTAAAATATGTACAATGTAAAATTAATAATATAAAAAAGTAATACATATTACATTACATATAATTATTTTGTTAATTAATATTAAAAATCAATTATATATTTAATTATATATTTGTATATGTAAATAACATTTTAATTATTTAAATAAATTTATATATAATTTAAATATATTTTATTAGATAATAAAATCAACATACTGATGACTTTGGAACATTTCCACGAAGTGTAATATTTTTTGTAGCCCTTTCGTTAGCGATACGCATTCTTTGTTTTGGTGCCATCTTTGTTGTTTTTTGTTTGCCAAAAGTATTTCAATAAGATTTGAAATAAATTAATAAATAATTTAAACACTATGTTAATCACTGTACGTGTACTAGAATATAACGTTCTTGTACTATAAACAGGTGTATACACTACACTCTGGTTCTCTCACGTCGATGTGTATGCTTTGACACGTGAATACTTTGGAATATAGGACGGAGTAACTTTAGTGCCACACTGGCACCAACAGAATCAATTTAATAATTATATTTTTCACAATATTCTGATTTTTATAATTATATATACATATATTATTTTAATATTTGTTTAATTATTAATATATTTTAAGTATATATTCATGATTATGTAAATATTTTACACGAAATATTTTTGAATAACGTAGTATAAACACGTTTCTTTACATGTATCGTATATAATATATGTCCATGATTATTTTTAAATGTAAAAATAATATATTTTATGTATAGAGGAAAAATAAGTTAATAAAAAAAATTTTGAATAAAAAATAATTTTAATTAATGAAATCTATTTTTGTTATATATTATCAGTAATTTAAAAAATGATTTATAAATTTTAAAATAATTATTTTAAATGAATATGTGTATAAATAAAAATAAATTGTATTTTTGTTGCATGTAGAAATTTTATATTTCATAGAATTGCTACGTCTAACAAACCATATGGTTCATTCGAATATTTTCACCAATATTCATTCAGCAATGCTTCATATCAAGATAAACATACTCTCTATAATTCCCATATCCCTTTTTTTCTCAACAGCGATTAGATATTTAATCGCGTGAAAAAGATCACAATTAAAAATTTTACCACCAGTTATAGACTTACAATATTTTACATTTTACCAACGCACTCACAATTCATAATGAAGAATATCCACACAACAGAAAAAAATGACATGTTGTGACATGTAATGCGCAATTAATGGTAAAAAAATTTCTTATAATTCACATTTAATCCTATCTTCTAACTTATCTATAAATTAATATTACTTGAATTTTTAGTAAACAAACATAAAATTATAATTTTAGTTCAGAGTCACAAAAATATTATTTTAAATAGTTTTAACTGAAGTACAGATTATGTGATTGAATTATATTGAAAATTAATATTACATAATTCATATATAATAATCTATAAATTTATAAAATTTTTTTTTGTTTTAATTATTTTTCAATTTAACTACTATATCTAATTGGAATTATTTATATTTATTCATGTATTTCTTTCTTCTAAAAAAAATATTAAAATTCTTGAAATATTTTTAAATTATATTATATAAATATATAAATTTTTATGTAATATATAAAATTCCAAGAAAAGAATAATTAGTAAATTTCAGAAAAAATTAATTATACTATATTATAATATAATATAGTAATCTTAAAAAATTGATTGTTTTAAATAAAAAAATTCTATTATATAATAATCAGAGCCTGTATTTTGTATAATACTAAATTGTGACTCATGAAATGAATAATATGTATGATTGTTTGAATAATTGATAAACTATTTGCAGATATTTATCTTCTGTAAAACTCATTTTTTACCAACATAAAACAAATAAGTTAATCATTTTCTTGAAATGAAAGTATCATTGTTACATCAATTAATATAAGGATGGTAAAATATTCGTTGAATATTTTTAAAAAATGATATAACGAATATTTCTCTTTAAATATTTAGCTATACTTCATTAAAATTAATATAGTTCTTTCACGAGTTGCATTTGTACATTATAAATAACTTCAATTTCAATCAAAAGAACAAGTCCTACTTTATAAAAACCGGCAGGTTTTATTTTGTATATTCTTATTTTAGTCAATTATAGATGTTACACTAGAATTGTGGTTTAGTCTATTTTAACTGTAGAATAAATCTTTCGTACAAATGCATTAGTACCAACATAACCAACTGTTCCACACATTATACCCAAAGCGAGACTGAACAATGCCATATAACCAAAATAAAATGCCGTTTGGAAGAGACCATACATTCTGAAAAAGAAAAATAAAATTATATTTTATTTTTTTTAATAAATTTGCATGGGATTAATCAAGTATAATATAAATTTACTTAGTTTTAAAAAAGAAATAATAAAAGGAATATATATAGACATAACCAGCGGTTGAAGCAGCCGCTAAGAAACTTGTCCATTGCCTATAAAAAATAATATATACATATAAATATAAAACTTACTATGTAACAATATTTAATTACATAATTAATTAATATATATATTAAATAATATTTACCATCGATAATCTTCAGCATTTAATAAAAAGTATGTACATACAATAGTAACACAAACAGTTACTATCATTAGAATAACAAATACTAGTAACATAAATCCATAAACATAATAAATTTTATATGCCCAAAATGAGGTAAAAATAAAATACCTAAAAAAAAAACATAAAAGTAATTTGACATATTTTTTAATTAATGAATATTAATTTAATAAATAAATAATGAATATTAATTTAATAAATAAATAATGAATATTACATTTCAATGAATATTGATCCAAAGGGCAAGATACCACCAAGCATAATAATAACCAATGGTTCCATGAACCATTTTTTTTCAGGAATTGGTCGAGGTACTGCATTAACTCTGCATGGTGCATCTGGAGTTCCAGCTAAATTACGACCCAAAATAGTTCCAACTAATGTTAATGGTAATATAACAAATATACAAATACATGTTACTGCTACCTATAATAAAATATTTTTATTAATTCATAAAAAAACAAATGTATATATAAATAAATAAGAATTATATAAATAATACTTTCCATGGAACCAAATGGTATAGCACGGCTGGCATGGTAATACATTGCAATGAAGTTAATAAAAAATGCAGTGCCACAGACAATAAAAGGTAACATAAAAGCACTGAGAATCATTTGTTTAATCCAAATACGACCTCCCATACGTGCATATAAACCTCCTCCAGCATAACCATTTATAGGTGATGTAGCAGCATATACAAAAATTGCTGTTGATAACATCGATCCTCTTTCTGTATACAATTCTCCAAGAATAGCAAATATAATAACACTAAGTACAACCACAGTAACCTAAAATAAAATAGTTTATAAAATATTATAATTACTACTTTAAAAAGATTGATTTAGAAATTTTTAATTAAAATAATTACCTGATATCCAGCACCTATAAGAGCTGAAAATAGCATTGCATGACTAGCAGGTCTAAATACATCTCCATGAACTTGTTTCCATCCATATTCATCACCTAAATCTCGTTCCATATCATCCATTTCTTCATCCCTACTATATCTAGCATAATCTTTTCTTAATGTACGCATTAAAATCATTGAAACAAGTCCAACGAGAAAGATTACCATCATAAAACTATTAAAAATACTGAACCAATGAATCTGAAAAAAACAAAAGATAAAAATTCATTTTTAAAATAAAATAATATATAATTTTTAATTTCACATTTTTTAATTAAAATATATTTACTCTGTGTTGAAAAAAATTAGGATCCAGATATTTGTCAAATCTATCTTCAAATTTAACATTACTTTTTTTCCAATTAACTTCATAACTAAAAGAAATGGCTGCATCCTGCACTAATTTAATTTTATTTTCACTAGTCAAATTTACATCAACTATTTGCTTTCCATTATATCCTATATCAAATTTTTTATGTGTCCAAATATAATAAGATACAACTCCATTATTATCTTCAGGCTCTCCCACAACACCTAAATATTAATAATAATCAATTAATATAATAAGGAAATATTTAAGAATTGAAAAAAATTAAAATTTTGATTTTACCCCATATTGGTAGATCATCCATATACATCTTATACCAATATTGATTCTTCACTGCATATATGAAAGCCTTTTCACTTTCTTCAGATAATTTTATTTGACAGTAATCCATTTTTGCAACATCAGCTATTAGATAATAAATATATCATATCATCATAATTAAGATAAAAATATCATCATAATTAAGATATCTACTATTAATTAATAAAACTTCAAAATACCTTTGTATTCAATTTCCAGACCACTAAATTTGAGTTCGATGCCTTGTAATGCTTCAGAAAAAGTTTCATGATAATGATTAATAACATTTTTTGTGCCCATACAAAAAGGTAATGAATAATAGGAATAAGTTTCCTGTCGATTATGATATGGTCCAACAGTACTCATCCACAATACAACTTCATCATTATCTTCATACTAATGAAAAAAAATATATTCCATTAATACATAATATGTATAATAATATAAATATGTAAAACATGATACAACATGAAATATGTATATATGAAAACAAATCAATTTTTAATAAAATTATTAATTAAAAATTAGCTATTAAAATTCACAATATCATAATATTTTAAAAATATGTTAATTTTCTGAATATATACTTACAACGTGAGTGTGCTCGTCGAGATAGACAAAGGGGAGTAGGCTAAGCGCCAGAAAATGGAATAACAATCGAGCCCGACACATGATCATCGTGACGGGAAGGCGCACTAGGCGCCTTATGCTAATACAAATAGAAATTCAAAGATATTTTACAATAAAGATACTCCATAGATTCACAAAACAAATATTGCTTAATAGAAACACCGGACAAACAGGTACCAATGGACACGTATTAAAACACGATGACACTTACAGCAACCGCTAATGCGCTAGGTGTTAAGAATTCACTATCACAATAGATGGCGCTTTTATCATTACATTCTAGAAATCCTTGCTAAATTGATCATTGTAAAAATTTAAATAATTTTATGATTAAAATATTAAAAAAAAGTTTATTAATATGAAATTATTTAAAAATTATTATTTAAAAATAATATATATACAATATATAAATATATATATGTATATGAAATAAATATTCAAATAAACTTTAATATTTAATTAATTTATGAATTAGATATATTAATAAGGATACAATAGTTTAAAGAAAATCAAAGATATATATTTATTTTTTTACACATTTTTTTGCTATAATTACAATTAGTACAAATTTAAACTTTATTATTATTCTTCAGGCCAAGGTTTTCCTATTCCTTGAGATGCACCCATTCTTGATGGATCTTGACTGGGATAATGTATTGGAGCTGTTCCAGGTGGAAAAATTGGTGTTGCAGTGGCAGGTGCCATTTGAGGTGGAAACATATATTGAGGAGCAACTGGTGGAGGTGGAATCATCAT